TATATTTTTGCCCTCTATAAATAAAATACCCTCTCTAGATACATATTTCAATAGTCCCGAGAGGGGCATATTTATGGAGGAATGACTGTACTTCTATTTGTTTAATCGGTATAAACCAATTTGACGAACAATCATTTCTCCGACTGTTATTTCGTTAACAAATTTAGCCCCATTTAGGTTTGTTTTATAATTAGTGCTGTCGGCGAATTCTACTAAAACCGTTTAATCTGGGGGGGAGGGAGTTCAGGAGACGGAGGAGGAATAACGTTAAACGAAATATCAACTTCAAACGGCCTTATAAATGAAATGTGTTACATTACAAAAAATTTCCGATGTAAATAATCTGCGAGAAATCATCTGATATATTTCTATTTATATTTTTAGGTTATCCATCACGATCAGATACCAGCATCGAAGTTTCTCTTTACTTTAATGTCAATTCTGCAGACCAAAATCATCGCATGGATAACGTGACGTCTGAATTTGACTTGGACAAATCAACCAACCACGTACCACAGGAAGAAACTAGTTACACGTCAGATAATTCTGTGAGCTACACGGGCAGTAATGACTACTACACACAGGAATGTTTCAATCTTCCTCATTATTGCCCAAGTTGCCAAAGTTGTTATTTATACTGCTCATATTGTTCGCAGATCTAAGCATGTAAATGTTTATTTATGTATTAAAATATATCTCAACTCGTTATCATTTCTACATATGTGTTGCATAGTGTGTACATTATGTTATTGTTACAAATAAAATATTAAAAGTTCGGCTTATATATTTTAGCACTCCATAACGTGGGTATTCACCTCCGAATTCTACGTAAATTCTACGTAAATTCTACGTAAATTCTACGTAAATTCTACGTAAATTGTTTGTTCAAAATGTTACGATACAGTGCTTTTATATTCTTGAAGGAGCATAAAGAGCCAAGTTGTTGGACACATTACTGCATTAGTTTATATAATCGCAAATAGGAAATCACAATAAAATGCGCTCGTACGCACGTGGATCATGGAGTTAGTGACCCGTAAATGAAATAATTATTTTAGAAATCATATCAGATGTGTAAAAAATTAGCACTCTATTGTATAGATTGAATGTCTTACTGTTATTTTAAGCTAAAATATTATAAAAAAAAAATAATAATAATAAAAATCTATCCTAACAGAATTGTAACATAATCAAAATACAACAAATAAAGATGCAGACTTATTTTTATATAGGACGTAACTAAGTGATGTCATAAGTCTGCAACTATAACAACAAATATATTAAAAAAGAGTTTTGATCAAGTTGTTTGAGTTACAACACTTTTACCGTACAGCGCTGCATACAGTACCCCGGGTATTTTACAAAAAAGCCGGTCTAGATTGAATAATACCCCTCAAATATCGAGAGATGGAAGGATAACACAAATAATCGTTACTGATCACTATATACTTTGTTATTAAACATATCAAAC